CGGGCTCTGGCCGCGCCCCTTCCGTGCTCTCCGCCAATGGGAGGCGCGCACGCGGCCGCCGCGCGTCGTCTCCATGGAGAGACGCGCATTCCAGCCCCCCGCGCACGCGCCATGGAGCCGGGAGCCGGCACCCCCTGGGGGTGCGGCCGGGAGGGGAAGCGAGGGGCACTGAGACCCCTCAGGGTGACCCCCGAGGGGGAGAGCTGGGGAGCACGGCCTGTGGGGCATTAGGGGGGAGCAGGGGGGGATAAGGGAGGAGGGTGGTGGATATGAGGGGCAGAACCCCGGGCTGGAGACAGCGGGAAGGATATTGCTGCAGGAGGTCAAGCGGGCAGAAGGGAGCTGTGGAGGGGAGAGCCCTCCGGAGCGCAGACCCAGCAGCAGGCATTGCTTCTGTCCCCCAAACGGAGGGAAATCCCTCCTTGTCCCTTGTCCCAGTGTGGGGGTGACACTGCAGGGGACCCCGGCTCCCTCGCCTCAGGACCCTGCCCGTGCTGGTGGGGGCTGGGGATGTGGTGGGCAATGAGGGGCTGAAGGATGTGCCCTGCTGCCTTTCCTCAGGGTTTGCTCTCATCTCCAGGGTAGCTCTGACGGGCCATGTGGGTCCCACATGCCCTGGGGAGAGGTCACCGTGCCTGGGCAGGGTCCAGGGTGGTATCCGCCTGCCTGATGTGCCCATGGAGAAGCTTCCATGCCATGAGGAGCCGCTGACAGCCACCGCCAAGAGGCTCCAGGAGATGTCGGACATAGCCGAGGTGCCGGAGATGCCCACTGAGCCGCCTGCCGAGGCTCTGCCACCCGTGCCCAGCCCTGAGCCAGCCCGAGAGACTGGGAACGATCCCTCTGAGATCAAGCTGCCTCCCTGGCTTGGAAAGTGGGGAACGTGTCGCGAGGAGGTGCCGGTGGAGCCCCTCTCCCCACCAAAGCCAGCAGAGCAGCCCAGCCAGCCAGTGACCCGACGGGGCCGCCCGATCCGCACCTGGCTGGGGGAGGTAACTCCATCGGGGAAAATGGCCCTCAACCAGCCCTACCGTATCCCACATGCTGATTCTGTGATGCTCCCCGCTCCTGGGTAGACCCCTCTCTTTAGATAGCCACCCTTGGCTGAGCCAGGACTTCCCAGATGACTTTGAGCCCAGTGGGTAGAAAGGGGATGAAATTCAATAGCACAAAAGGCACGGGAAGGCACGTGGGGAGTGACAGTGAGGCTTTGGGAGGGAAGCTGGGATCTTGCTGCTGGCAGGCAGGAGTTCCATGTCACAGCTGATCATAGAGATGTGGGGCAAGCAAGGCTTGGGGGGCACCTGGTGGGTCAAACTGTGCCACAGTCTGGGGACCCCATGGTTTGTTCAAGTGTCATAAGAGAGCTTGCCCAGTGTAGGGGCAGTCTGGGCACCCCTCAGCTTGGGACAGCCATACAAGGTCAGCAGACCTCCACCAGGCAGGAGAGGTCAGCCCTGTCCAAGCTGCAGGTGTCCCTGCTCCAGCGTTCCCAGGGAGCTGGCTGGAAGGACTGTGACCCCTTTTTGCAGCTTGTGCCTCTGGGGCTATCAAAAGCCTAAAAGCCAGGAGCAGGCATGGGGGGCACTGCAGGGTGGGTTCCCACCCCCTTCCACAGCCCCTACTGTCCATCTCTAGAAAGTCGTGGACCCCCTGAACTCTGGGCTGGGGCAGGAGCTAGGCAGTGAGGACTCCGCCCACCACCGCGGCTTCCACGGACTGCCACTCCATCAGTTCCTGTCCTCGCTCACCGACAGCTCCACCACGGACACCTACCGCCCGCCACACAGGGCCCTGCTGCTGCAGCAAGGTGAGACTGAGCCCCCCTCAGCCGTGTGCCCCCCAGAAAGGCACTGAGGGAATCTCAGCTGGGGGTGCTGATGGCACTTTTCCCTCTGCAGGGCTGCGGAAGGCCACGCTGGCATCCATGCTCTACGAGAAATACAGGCAAGCCTGCACCCCTGTGTGACACCCGTCCTTGGGGCTGTGCCCTGGCAGAGGGGACATGGAGTGGGGGGTACCCCAGGGCTGAGGGGTGTTTGCTCTGACTGCAGTAAGGAGACGGAGGAGAAGATCCGTCCCCGCCCACAGCCCATGGAGTCTGTCTCCACCACGCACCGGGACTACGCTGCCAGGGGCTTCCAGCCCACACCTCCATCCATCACTCAGGTACAGGCAGGAGACACCTCCCCCACCCCCCAGCTTGTGGCAGCTCCCAGGGAGGCTGCAAGGCTCCTGTGTCCCCCCGAGTGTGCTGTCCCTCCGGCCCACTGTCACTTTGCTTCCATTTGCAGCCCCATAACTACTTGACAGAGCAGCCAACCAGCTTCTGGCTGGAGCAAGCCCGTGGAGTACCAGTAAGTCCCCCAGCACCTCACCCTGCCAGCACCCCAGGGGTCTCAGCTGCTGACAGGGACCTCTCCCCTTCTCTCCTCTCCAGGGTGTCACTGCCCTCTTCAGCAGAAACATTCCCTTCAAGAGGAACGCAACCTTCTCCACTCCCATCACTGTGTACCTAGGGCCACCCCACCCCTGTGACCCATTGAGCAGCGAGCCCCAGACCTTCAAGGATTAAAAAGCAAGGGGACGCAGGTGGTCCCAGCCTCATTGCCACCCCAAGGCTGTCTTCAGGCTGGATGTTTGGAGGGGGACCACAGTGTCCCTGGGATCTCAAATCCCGCAGGGCCATGCAGCAAGTGGGAAACCCTCCAGCCCTGGTGCAAGTCACTGTTGACCCAAAACATGCTGTGGCCCCAAGCCTCCCTCCTTGGGCATGAAGGGAGAGCCCTTGGCACAGCCTCGTCCACTGGGACATGTCCCCTCCCGGCACACGCAGCGGGCGACATGCAGCCGCCGTCCCGGTCCCCAGGCACAGGTGTGTTCCAGTAAGAGGCGGCAGCAGGGCGGCCAGAGCATGAGCTCAGAGGAACGCACTGCAGCCCTCACGCCAAAGCAAACCCCGCTGCGGCAGCCCTGCCTTCCCAGCACTGCCTGAGCCCTCAACAGCTGCGGCTGCCCGGCCCCGGCCCCCCGTGCCCGGCCCCCCACCCTACGGCCGCAGACAGAGCCCCGGGATATGATGCTTAGGGATGCTCCAGGCAGCTGACCCCAGCCAAGGCTGAGTTCGATATTGGGGTGCCCCCAGCCCCTGTCCCTTATTGGCACTCCAGGACAGAGAGAAGCAGAGGTCAGGTAACAGATGGATTTGGGGAAGTTTGTATTTCAACAAAATAGTTGCAGCGAGTCCTATATTTACACCTGGGGGAGGAGGGGGTGGTATTTACATGACCCACTGGGGTTATATACAGGAGAAGAGGAGACTGGGGAGGGGGGGAGCTGCGGCATTGAAGCCTGACCTGGCCAAGGAGTCAGTCTTGGCAGGAATCCCCATTTCCCCCCACCCCAGGGACAGGGTGACATGGGCACAAATTCTGCTGGGGGCCAGGTACTGAAAAGAGACGGCAAAGTGCCCTACGGGGCAACCAGGCCCCGGACCAGCTCAGAGCCAGCTGAGCCACACGGGAGAGGGCAGGGATGGCAGGACCCTAGAGGGTGGGGGAGATATGAGGGTTGGATCTGGGCCAGTTCCCCCCTCCAAGGGGCTGTGGGGGAAGGTGGGCTTTGCTGGTGCTGATGGAGGGGGGGCAGACGGTGACATGGCCGCTGCCCCACCTTGCCCAGGCCCTGCTGAAGCAGGGGGGCTGCAGAGGTGGTGGTGGATGCAGTGAGGGGGGTGCCGGTGCGTCCTGGGGGTCAAGGCACCGGAAGGCACTGGCAGTCCCACTGAGGCTGGGGGCTCCGCCACTGCCACTGGGCTCAGACGACTTTGGGGTCTTTCCTCTCGCCCAGCAGCCAATATGTCCGCATCTTTCCCTTGCCCTGGGAGGGAGAAGAGGGCAGTGAGAACCTCCCTGCCCCTGGCACTGCTCCTTGGGTGTCATCCCCAGCATTGAGGGGAATAAAGGGTCCCAGCCTGAACCCATGCCCTCATCACATGTCCCATACAGCAGGAAGGGACAGCTGCACCCCCCTGGCATCCCTGTGCCCTCACCTTCATCTCCACATCCCCACGCAGCTCCAGATCAAAGCAGCCAAACTCATCCAGGACTTCCTTGGTGGTGGATGAGACGTGGATCTTTAGGGCTGGGTAGCACAGAGGGGAAAAAGAGACTTGGCTGGGTGAGGGAGCTGAACACAACTTGAGGTGCTGGACCCCAGCTGCCAGCCCCGTGGCTCACCCTGGCCATTGGATTCCATGCGGGATGCAGTGTTCACCGTGTCCCCAAAGAGGCAGTACCGTGGCATCTTCAGACCCACCACGCCAGCACACACAGGACCTGCCAGCACAGGGACACTTAGGGACACTGCGGGGCAGGCGGATGGCCTGTGGTGCCAGCAGGCACGGGGACTCACCAGTGTGGATGCCGATGCGCAGGTGGAGCTGGTCGTTGGGACGGTGACGGATCTTGAAGGTTTTGACGGCCTCGAGCAGGGCCAGGGCCATGCGGACGATCTCACGGGCGTGCAGCTTCCCATTGCGCACCGGCAGCCCCGAGACCACCATGTAGGCATCCCCAATGGTCTCCACCTGTGGGGTAAGGGGCAGCAGGTAGAACCTGGGCTCCTTGCTGCCTGGCTCACTCTGGGGGACTGTGCTGGCTCACCCACACCCTCACCTTGTAGACATCAAAGTTATCAATGATGGCATCGAAGCAAGTGTAGAGATCGTTCAGCAGCATCACGACCTGAATGGAGCAAGGGTGTGTGTGAGGCTGGGAGCAGGCATGGCCCCCCAACCCCAGTGATGGCACTGCTAGGGTGTGAGACCCCCACCAGCTCCAGAGAGTGGCTTTCCCCCAAGCTCTTCTCTCACCTGCATGGGAGTACTCTCTGCCGAGAGGGCAGTGAAGCCCACAATGTCACTGAAGTAGATGGTGACGCTGTCAAAAGCCTCAGCCCGTACTGTCTCCCCACGCTTCAGCTGCTCCGCCACAGAGCTGGTGGGACCAGAGAGGATGGTGGTGAGCTCCCACTTCCAACCCACTGTTCCCCCACATCCTTTGCCCTACAGCAGCATGGAGAGCTGGCAAGGGACTCCATGCTCACACAGCAGTGGGTGCATGCTGACCCCATGCCAAACCCCAGACCCACAAGCTCCCTTGTCTCCCCCTCTCACTGGGGCAGAATCTGGTAGAGGAGGTTCTCCGCCTTGCGCTTCTCCTCCAGGTAGGCCTGTGTCCGCTCCTCCACCAGCTTCTCCAGGTTGTTGGCGTACTGCTCCATGCGCGACAGCAAGTTGTCCAGGATGCTGGTGCTTCCCTCCCTGCCAGAGTGCAGGCAGCTGGCACTGCCAGAAGAGGTGCCCCCCAACCACCTCCATCCCCATCGCCGTCCCCACTCCCGCCCCACCTTTCCCACTCGCCAACCACCCACTTGTTGAATCTACGGATGAAGATCTTGATTTGGCTGAAGTCGGGGCGCTCGGCTGGCTCCTGCGCCCAGCAGCGCTCCATCAGCACGGCCAGCTCCTCGCTGTGCACCCCAATGTCGATGGAGGGGCGGAAGAACGGTTTCTGGCTGTTACGCACCTTCTGCACGATCTCTGCCAGGGGGTGGGTGATGGTGAGCACCAGACCCTCCAAAGCAGGGACAGAACCGCCCCACAGCCACCTCCCACCCTCACCTTTGGGGCTCAGGTCCATGCCCTCAATGTAGAAGGGGCCGTTCCGCAGAGCAACCTCCTGCACGATGATGCCGAAGCTGTAGACATCAGCCTTCTGCATGCCCGGGGTGGGCAGGTGCCCCTTCTGCAGCAGCTCTGGGGCTGTCCACAGCTTCTCTGGTGGGACACAGCCGTGAAGCAGTGAGGCAGGGCCACCCCATCCCTGTGATCCCCCCAAGCAGGCACTCACTGGCATAGAGCGCGTGGGTGTCCTCATTGTCGCTGGGTGAGCGGAAGCTGGCCAGTCCATAGTCGGTGATCTTCAGCACGAAGCGACTGTCCACCACACAGTTGGATGACTTGAGGCTGCCGTGGTGGCCGATGATGCTGTTGTGCAGGAAGGCCATTCCCTGGGACAGATGGACACAGTGAAGTTGGTATCCCTCATGCACCTCCCCCAGCCCCTTGTGCCCCTCCCTTGGGTACCTTGACAATGTCATTGATGAGGGAGTAGCGAAACATCCAGTCCAGGTTGATGCTCTCGTTCTCCAGGACGTCCTGGGGTAGCACAATGAGTGGACCCCACCAAGCACCCAGGGCATGGTGGCAGCAGTCTCACCAAGCACCCAGCTGCAGTGGGGTCTGCAGCATTCGCCCCCTCCCCTCCACCAGCCTCTGACACCTGCTTGGGCAGCTCGGCTGCGAGCCTTGTAGGGTTAAGGGCCACCAGTATCCACAGCCCTGTCCTCAGTGCCCAGCCCAGCCAGGTCACAAGGAGTGTCTAAGTGTTGCCCCTGGTGTCCCTAAGCCCCTCTACCTGCAGGCTGCCCCGTGGGCAGTACTCGGTGATGATGCAGATGTTGGGGGGGTCGATGCACGCCCCAATGAAGCGAGTCAGGTGGTTGAACTGGATGTCGCGCATCTGCAGGTGGAAGTGGAGCCAAGTGGGTCTCGAGGTTAGAGGAGATGGGCTGCTGCTCCCACCAGCCTCCCCCAGTCCCAGGAACAGTCCCTGCACCCCCAAGCAGGTTGCCCACCCCAGCATAGACCCCAAACCTACGTGTTTTAGCTCGAAGAGCACCTGCCGTGTCAACTCGATGCGCTTCTTATTGATGTGTTTAATGGCCACCACATTGCCCTGGGATGTTTGAGAAGGAAGAGAGGTCAGTGCCCGCTGAGTGGATTTGCAGAGGCAAGGAAGGTGCCAGCATCCTGTGGGATGGGGGTGCAGCCAAGGGCAAGCACACCAACAGAGCTGGGGCATTTCAGGAGGAGGGGTTCCCACCTGCTGCACTGACCTTGAAGTGGCCGGTGTTGGCGAAGATCTGGTACTTGCCATGGGTAGTCATCAGGGAGCCATAGCTGGAGCCACGCTGTGTGAAGGAGGGGATCAGGGAGGGGAACCCTGGGGTGGCAAGGTAGCAGACACCGACGCAGCAGGGCAGGAACACTCAAGGGTGTGCAGGGGATGATGCAGGATGGGCTGTAAAGGGTCAGGGCAAGTTCTGCATGCTCTGTAGGGAGGGTGAGGACTGAATGGAGGGTGCACTGAAGGGGTGTAGGGATAAGGTGTGTCTGTGAGGGGATGGAGAGCAACACAGGAGCTTGATGAGGTATGGTGCTCTGTAGGGGATTCAGGGCTGTGTAGGGGATGGAACTACAGTGACTGCAGGGGATGGAGGGTCATGCCAGGGATGGATAGAGTGCATCTCTACTAGGGAATGGAGAGTTATGTAAGGATGAAGGGCTGTTTAGGGGACGAGTGCAGTGGGGCTCTGGCTCTGTAAGGAACAGAGGGCCATGTAGGGAATCAACAGGGAGGGGTGTCATGCAGGGAGGGACGGCAGCACAAGGGCAGGGTTGTGCCCCAGAGCTGGCACCTCTCACCAGGGACAAGGTGAGCCGGCTGCCCGCTGCCTTGTGGTACCGCTCGGGACTTCCAAACTGCAGCTCATCCCAGCGGATCCTCCAGAGCATGCTGGCAAGCTCCTTCTCCAGCATCAGCTTCCTGAGGGACACATGGCTGTCAGATCCCCCTGCCCTGCCTGCCCCCCCCAGCAGACTGAGAGGTGCCTGGTGCCCAGGCAGAGGATCCCCCAGCCCCAGCTGACCTGAAGATGAGGAAGCTGGAGATGCCAAACATGACGAAGGTGAGGCCAGTGCCCAAAGCCACGATGGCCAGCATCGAGAGGGGGGCTGCAAACAGGAGGGGATGTCAGGGTGGTCCAACTGGCCATGATGGCCAGACTGGTACGCAGCCATAAGGAAGGGCACTGGGGCCCAAGGGACGTGGGGACCCAGGGCACCCACTTTTATCGCAGGAGGGGTCATCCACATCAAAGACACAGGGAGGGTTGTCCAAGGGGGGAGCCCCCTTCACCCAGGGGATGGGTCGCCCCAGCCAGTGAATTTGCTTCTCCACACCCGAGTAGTGTCCCACCACCTAAAGCAGAGAGAGATGAGGCCCCCCAGACCCCAGCATCCCATCCCTGCCCTAGCTGGGGGAAAACTGGTGCTGGCCCCCACCTCGTACTTCCCAGTCTTGGGGTCGCTCATGGCCCATAGGTTGAAGTCAGTGTCCCGGTCATTGTTGCTGTCCATGCTCACAAGCCCCGTCACCCCTGTGGGAGAAGCAAAACCCGGATAGGACAGGGACTGGGTTCCACCACCCCCACAGCACTCACAGCCCGGCTGCCCCTGTCCCAGTGTTACCCTGGAACTTGCGGTCCCGCATCTTCTCGATGATGTGGGTGGCATTTTTCTTGGAGCCTCCCTCACGCAGGGTCTCGTTCAGCACCATGGCGTACAGCAGCATCCCATCATAGAAACACCCCGCCACCAGGTTCATCTGTGGGGGGAACCTGAGCACACCCACAGCCACGCACACAGGAGCACCCTGGCCCTGGGACCTCCACATCAGGACCATGCACCCACCCATGGCCCCATAACCCCACACTGGGACCAACATTCACCTTGCAGGGATGGCAGTGCCCATGGCTGTTCCCACCAGGGATAGTCCCCCCAGCATTGCCTGTGGCCATATTCCACCCTCTGCATTCTGGAGAGGTACCTCAGACCCATGTGGAAGGTCCCCACCACCCCATCATGCAAGCAGACTCACTCACCAGAGAGTAGTTGAGCTGCACTCCAAATTTCTGCTTAGCTCGCAGGATGAGCTGGGTTTGGAAATGCTGGTACTCAGGGTTTTGGGGCTCATAGTAGGTAATCACCAGCACCATCTGCAACCAAGCACAACACCCTGGTTCACACACCAGGGGCCAGGCTGGGGAGATCCCTGTCCCCAGGCAGTGTGCACATCTCACCTGGAAAGCCTCGCGCAGCCCTGAATCCTGGCCGGGGCTCTGTTGCCAGGGCTTGAAGGGGTCACGGGCAGAGTCGCCCCGCAGGCTCTCCCCGAAGACATCCAAGTAGAAGAAGACATAGTCACCGTTGGTGAGGTTTTCCTGCTGTGCCAGCTGCATGATCTGCCTCAGCATCTCCGGCGGCCCGCAGAGATACACCACTGCCGGAGAGAGGAGGGGGGATCGGGGGGACAGTAACACCCCACTGCACCCTGGGGCACACAGCCAGCAGTGGGGTGGGATGCTTTCCTCTGGGGGGATGGGGCAGAGCAGCCCCGGGGGCACTTGTTGCCTGCAGGGTGGGTGAGTGGGGGGGTGGAGCAGGCAGATGGGGCAGTGCTTGGCTCACCCCTCTCTGTGCCCCACAGACAGCCCCACCGCCCTTGCTAGCACTGACCCACTCTTGCCCCATCAGTCACCTTGGGCTGAGGGCGGAAAGGAGAACAGGGGAAAACTTGCTCCAAAACATGAGGGGGCTGCCCCAGGCACAGACGTCACACACCCTGCTCCAGTAAAAGCCAGACAGGAGATGCCTCCCCCCGGCATCAGCGTCCTGGCTGCTCCACACCGGCCCCAGCCAGGGGACCAGGGGGGCCGGGAGAGGCGGTGGGGCCGTCCGCCCAGAGGCCCCTGGGGAGCCCGGGCTGTGGAATGGGACAAACCCATGTTTGGGTTCGCGGCTGGCCGGCAGTGTGGCAGGAATGCGCAGGTTCCCAGATTCCAGCACCTTCTGCGGCCACTGGCGCTAATTGGAAACAGAGCATCGCATCTCGCTGGTGTGACCCACGCGGCAAGGGGGTGCCTGGGCCCTGTCAGGCCGCCCTGTGAGCCCCCAGCCGCTGCTGAGGGCTCAGCCAGCCCCCATGGGATGCCCACCCAGGTGCTGTGTGTGGGCGGCATGGGGCTGGCACAGGGCACCACGGGCAGCAAGGACGGGCATCTGAGAGTGTCCAAAACCCCCCCAAGCAGGGGCCCTCTATGCCCTTGGCTGAGGATCCTGACACTGCCTCCTCCCTCCCCCCGGAAAACCGGGGCCCCGCTCCAGCCAGCCTGGCTGGGAACCCGGGATTGAGCAACAGAGGAGGCGGCGGCGGCGGGTGCCGGAGGAATGTCACGCTTGGGCGCTGGCCCCGGCGCACAGCCTTTCTGCAAGGGGCCCAGCGCCCCGGCTGGACCCGGGTAACGGGGGGGCTGGGGACAGCAAAGAAGCCCCGCTCCTCTGGGATGAGGTCTCTGCTGCTGGACGGCACCTAGCCATGCAGGCACCCGGCCATGGGGGCAGCAGGGCTGACAGGGGCTGACAGGGTCACCCACGGTGGCAGTGAGGCAGCCCAAGGGTGGGAGAAGAAACCCAGCACAGCCGCCTTGGGCACAGAGAATCCACAGCAATGTGGGGAGCTGCTCCTGGGCACGGGGGAGAGGGAAATTGCAGCAGCATGAGCTGTGTGTGAGCAAAAGCCTGTTCCAGAGTTTGAAATGGTTCCCTCTGAATGCTGCAATACTTCAAATAAACCATCTCGGCTTCCCCACTTCGCTAGTCCTGAACCCAGAAATGTGCTGTCCCCAAACTTCTCATGCAGGATGGGCAGCTCAGCACCTCCCTGGCACGCAGACCCTGGGGGTCCCCCCCTAAGGACACAGCATGGGACCCTCCCCATCCCATTGCAGGCGCCAGGAAAAGGCAGCCACACGGACTGGTGAGCCACAACAGCTGGTGGTAGATAGCGGGACGCTGCAGGCAGCCAGCCCCCGCGGCGGCAGCGAAAGCCTGCCTGGTCAAAGGCCACCAAGCAAGGGGGTAGATGACGCTTGAACGGCTCCCCAGGGACAGTTTGCAGGAGCCATGCAGAAGGAAAGGGTCAATGCTTGAGGCTCTCCCTGACCTGGGCAGCTGCCTCCAGCTGGCAGCCTCCTGCATGGCCAGTGGCACTCCAGTGGGTGCACACAGCCCCCCAAGGGCAAATGGCCAAAGCCAGCCTTAGTTTCACAGAGGACAAGAGGAACAGGGTCCTACAAATTTGGGGCACATCCAGCCCCCTGGCAATTATTTAGGGGTGTCTGTGGTGTGAAAGGCAGAGTGCCAGGCCCCGGGAGAGGGGCAGGACCACGAGCTTGCAGGTGAGGCAGCAGGATGCTGCTTGACCCCTACATGATAGAAGATAACCCTATATTGAGGGTGAATCCCAGTTTCAGACAGCAAATCCCAGTTTGAAGCAGCCCCACCAGCACAGGGCACTGCAGAACAGAGACCCTCGTCCTGGCCAGGCGGCCCTCGCACGCCCGGGGGGACTGCAGGGGTGAGGACCAAACGCACTCCCCTCCAGCACCCAGCCATCTCCCCAGGCAGGGGACCTGGGCTTTTTGCAGGCAGATGCTCTGCTAATTCCCTCAACCACAGCTCTAATTATATCAACACTTTTGCAAATGGCATAAGAGACGTGGGCCCCTGCACGTCGCCCAGGCCCTGGTGATACGGGCGATGCGCCCACAACCCCTCCTGCTCCTTCATTAGACCTGCAAATGTTGAGGATCAGCAGTGCTAGGGACACACAGTGGGGCAAGGAAGTGGCTTTCCTCGGGAGAGGTTTACCAAACTCCTGCCCACCACCTGGGAGAAGGAAGGTGACGCTAAGAGGGATGATACGGTGTCATTGCAGGGCATGAATATGGATATGGATATGACTACAACTGAAAACCCTGCTTTCCCACTCTATGCCACACCATGCTGGGGTCAGGACCCCTGGGACAGCCTTGCAGGTTCCCTCTCCTGCCCCATACACCTACATCAGCTTCGCAGCCCTGGGCACCCACCTCTGTGGGGCCAAGCACTCAGCCCCGCACTCTGGCCCCATCTCTGGGCTGTGGCCAGAGGGGCCCAGACCCTCTCCACATCCCTGCCTATAACAAGGGAGTTGGAACTAAATGATCTTTAAGGTCCCTTCCAACCCAAGCCTTTCTGTGATTCTGTGAAAATATGATGCCAGCTCTGAGGGCCCTCAGGTCTCTGCCCATGCCCGATGTCCTCCTCCAGCAGCCACGACCCCCTGCCTGCACCAGGAGGGATTGATTCCCACTGTGGTGATTTACAGCACCAAGCCGGAAACATTGGCAGGAATTGCTAATTCTAGCCTTTTTCCCCGTGCAGTTCTTTGCCCCCATTCCACGAGAAGCTCCACACTCCTTGGCTGATGCTGGTGCACACAGGGAGCTTCCATCCCAGAGGAGCAGCCACAGGCTACTCAGCTCCTGCAGCCCACCACGGCGTGCTCACTCCATGGACTCAGCCTCTCCAACTTCAGACAGGAGGGGAACCCAGTCCAGCACTCCAAAGCGCCACACACACGCCCCTAGCCTGGTCCCGCACAGCCTCAGACACGTCTCCCACTGGCCCATCTGGCTCCACTTATCCTGGCTGGATGTCCTTCTTAATGACACAGCATCTCAGAATCCATTAAGGAGCACTGCGGAGTGGCTGACTCCCCGGGATCGATACACCCCTCTCATCAATTATGAAAGAGCATCAGGCTGCCCTTGCTCTCCAGCTGCCTCCGTCAGCCCCTCCATTTCCTCCCGCTCCCAATATAGCTGCTCTCTTGGGGCACTCAAAAGGCACCAAATTGATTTATCCCTCCATCAGCAGGGTGGGGCCATCCCAGCCCCATGCCAGGGGCACTGCAGGGACAGGCACAGCCCAGGTGCCAGTCTGGGGGGCTCTGCCCGAGCACGGCACCACCACCTCGGCATGTTGGCACCATCTGGGCACGTAACCTCAGCCGATGCTGTCCTTCAGACGGCCACGTCCATTCCCTCACCTTCAGCTTCTGAGGAGGTGCCTGGGTCCCGCCTGCCCTCAGGGACACCCGGTCCTGCTAACACAGAGGGTAGGTGGCCCCGCAGGGTGCCTTTCACAGCATGTGTTCCATCAAGGTGAGGGTGGCTCTCCCTGGTAAAGGCTGACCAAGCTGGGGGGCAGGGAGGGAAACACTGTGCCTCCTCCCTGTGCCACATCCTGGTCTCTCCACTGGCACAGAGTTTGGCCCTGGAGGGGCTCAGGTTGTGCCTTCTCCTCTGTGAAGCCACTTTCCTGTACAGGTCCTGCTGCTCCTCCAAACCCACCGCAACGGAATGTGCTCACTCTTCATTTTGCCCTACATACAATCCACTTTGCCCACCCCTCCCTGTGCCCTACGTGGGTCCCACTGTGCCCTCAGCCCATCCTCATGCCCCACATGGGTTTCACTGTGCTCCCAGCCCCTCCCTGTGCTCCACAGGAATCCCACTGCCCCTTTGGCCCCTTGCCATGCCCCACCATGGGTCTCACTCTGCCCATCCCCTCCTGCACCCCACATGGGTCCCACTGCGTACTTGGCTCCTTGCTGTGCCCCACATGGGTCCCATTTTGTCCTTGGCCCCTCACTGCATGCCTCACAGGTCCCACTGTTTCCTCAGAGCCTCATGGTGTCCCACAAAGGTGCCACTGTCTCCTTGGACTGTTGCTGCACCCCACATAATCCCACTGTGTCCCCATTCACTTGCTGTGCCCCACACAGATCTCAATAGCCCCCTAATCCCTTTGGTGTGCTCTAGATGGGTCCCACTGCCGCCCTGACCCCTTGTTGTGCCCCATACAGATCCCGCTGTGTTCCCAGTCCCTTGCTGTGCCCTACAGCAGTCAGTCCCACTGCATCTCTGTCCCCTCTCTGTGCCCCAGAGGTCCTACTGCTCCTTTAACGCCGACATGTTGCCCACAGCACCCTAGTCCCCTACTGCACCCCAGATGGGCCCCATGGCACCGCCACCCCTTTGCTGTACCCTCTGTTTGCTGCACAGCCCATCCTTCCCCCTAATGTGCCCAGACGGGTACAACTGCACCCCTGTGCCCCACACGGATCCCACCGCACCCTCAGCCCCTGGCTGTGCCCCACGGAGGATTTTTCCTCCCCTCTCCGAGCGCTGCGCAGATCCCCCACAGGGAGCCCTC